TGTTGACCCACATCTCATATCAGATATAAAAGTTAACTTATCAATGATAGCTTTAATTATAAGAACGAGGGGGCAGCCTGGGTGGCTCAGCAGTTTAGCACTGCCTTCAGCCCAGGGCCTGATCCTGGAGACCCGGGATCGAGTCCCACGTTGGGCTCCCTGCATGGAGCCTGCTTCTCCCTCTGCCTGTGTCTCTGCCTCTGTGTGTGTGTGTGCCTCTCTCATGAATAAATAAATAAATAAAATATTTTTTTAAAATTATAAGAACCAGAGATGCCTGGGTGGCTCAGCAGTTGGGCGGCTGCCTTTACCTCAGGTCATGATCCTGGGATTTGGGATGTAGTCCCGCACTGGGCTCCTGCAAAGAGCCTGCTTATCCCTCTGCCTATGTCTCTGTCTCTGTCTCTCTCTTTCTCTCTGTGTGTGTCTCTCATGAATAAATAAATAAATCTTTATAATAATAATAACCAAAATCACGAACAATTCAACTGGCGTTTAAGTGGTTCACGGATAAACGATATACCTTGGCTATAAAAGTGAAAAACACAGTGCCTGCGTGACTCAGTTGGTTAAGGGTCTGCCTTTGACTCAGGTCATGATCCCAGGGTCCTGAGATTGAACCCTACATCAGCCCCCTGCCTCTGCCTCTCCCCTTCCTACTAATCCTCCTGCGTGCTCACACACTCTCTCTCAAATAAATAAAACCTTTTTAAAAATCCACAAGCTACCAAAAAATGCCACAACATGGATGAAATTAAAAAGCATTAAGTGAAAGAAGTGAGGGGAATAAGGCTACATACGAAAAGATTCATTTATATGACATTCTAGAAAGAATCAAACAAGAAGAAAAGAAAAACAAATCTGGAGGTGGAAAGAAGTTTAAGAATATGAGGAAACAAAAAATAATAATAAAAAATAAAACAAATAAAAAAGAATGAAAGGAAAAAAGAGGTTTTTCCGGACAGAAAATGTCCAAAATCTTGATGGTGGTGGTGGTAACGTGACTATCTATTGGCCAAATCAATAGAACCGTACACATAAGAAAGGTAAACTTCAGAGTATAGAAGTTATACCTCAATAAAGCTCACTTAAAAAAACAAGAGTCACATCACCATAAATATAAAACGAAAATATGTGAGAAATACACATAGGGATTATGTTAAAACATTATCACATACAACCAAATACCATATGATTCTACTTATTAATTTCCTTTAATTAAAATACCTATTAAGCATTAAGGACAAACAATATTAACAAGTAGTGACCTCTAGTTAATGATAGGCCTGTGGAAGTATTTCGGGGTGAAGTGTACTGATCTCCGAAACTTACAATGAAACTCATCACAAAAAGAAAAGGGAGTGATGGAAGGACAGAGGAATTAGTAGTACACAGACAAACAGAAGAAAAAGCAAATACAGCAAAATGTACATTGTAGCATCTAGGGGGAATTCTATGGGTGTTCAACTATAATTCTTTCACTTGTTTGCCATGAAAATTTTTATAATAAAATGTTGGGGGGGGACTAAATAAAGAACAGCAGAGTAAACCCAAAGTAAGTAGAAAAAAGGAAATAAAGGTAAAAGAGAAGTGAACAAAACAGAAAACAAAACACAGGGAAAATGCAGAAAGGCAAAGACCTTTCTCTGAAGAGCTCAACAACTTTTGATGAACTTCAGACTTCACACTACTACATGGGACAATTCATTTTTAAAAAAATATTTATTTTTTCATGAGAGACAGAGAGAGACAGAGACACAGGCAGAGGGAGAAGCAGGTTCCATGCAGGGAGCCCGATGTGGGACTCAATCCCGGGACTCCAGGATCACGCCCCTGGGCCGAAGGCAGGCACTAAACCACTGAGCTGCCCAGGGCTCCCCCATGACTGGACAATTCAGATTATAGTGAGGCCACTCTTGAGACTAACCATTCCTAGAAGATTTATCTCAGAAAAACCAGAGAATTCTTTTTAGGATTTATTTATTTGAGAGACAGAGAACGAGCAGGGAGAGTGGGAGGGGTAGAGGAAGAGAAACAGGTGCCCAGCTGAGTGCACAGCCTGACACAGGGCTCAATCCCAAGACCCTAAAATCATGACCTGAGCCAAAATCAAGAGTCGGGTGCCCAAACAACTGAGCCACCCAGAGGCGCCATTAGAACAACTAGAGAATTTATGGGACCTGCCAGAAACTTCCTCCAGGGCCCAGGGGAATAAGCAGTCCCGAAGTAGCCTGAAGTCTCGAACAATGGGGAAAAGGAAAACAAGCGAGTCCAGTAGTGAGTCCACGTGCTCCTGTCTTCCCACCCAACCTGATCCCATGCCCCTGGGTGAGGCCTGGCCATGTCTCCCTGTGCCTTTGAACCCTTGTCAGGGAATACTGAAACCAGTGGATCTCAACTAGACATGGGCATCAGAACTGTCTGGAGCGTCACTCAAAATGCACAGAACCAGTACCACCCGAGGCTTTCTGAAACCATTTCCACATGGTGGGCCTACGCGTGAGTATCGTGAGGGGTCCACAGGTCACTATGTGATACACCTTGGGGTAACAAAGACTGTATTAAGAAATATTCTATTGTCAACAACAAAAACAGTGATAGCATCTACTGAAAGCTCCCAGGGTGCCAGGCACCCTTCCTGGTGCTTTACATTCATCCACTCATGAAACTCTGACAATCCTGGAAGTTCTAGCATGAGCCCCATTCTACAAACAGGAAAAAAAAAAAAAGAGACTCTGAGTCAAGTGCACAGAGGGACAGCTAGTGAGCAAAGAAGCCAGAAATCAAATCCAGGCTCTGAGCTCCAAAGCCCGAGTTGCTGACCACTGGCTGTGGATGGACACAGAACCCCATTCTTCTGCCCTTCTCCAAAAGGAAAAAATACTTACCGAATGTTCCCACACCTGGATGGGTAAGAATGAGATGCAGGTACTCTCTAGGGCTCTGTGTTCCAGGCAGAAAATCAGCCAGAGACACATAACTCCGTTTAAAAGAAGCTACCAAATGGACTGCAGGCACAGAAGCTCAGCTCTATTGGGCTGCCTCTTTTGGCTGAGGTCATGATCTCAAGGTCGTGATAGAGAGCCCGAGTCAGGCTCCACACTCAGTGTAGAGTCTGCCTGAGATTCTCTCTCCCTCTCCTCCTATGCCTCTGCCCCCCCCCCCTTGCTTGCTCTCTCTAAATAAATAATATATAAAATCTTCAAAAAAAAAAAAAAAGCACCTTAGATATACTGGTTACCCTTATAAATGTAACAGGAAAACTACAAATAACAACTTAACAGACATTGCGAAGATCTGAGGAGAAGGCCAGGGTGTAACTGAGCTAAATCCTCATTTTACATATAGAGGGGAGATAACATAGAAATCTCCAGAAATGCATGTGTGAAGGCATTCCCGGGACCCAGGAGGTGACCCTCAGCAGAATTACAAACAGAAACTGAGAGAAGAGGCAGACAAGCCCTTGGAGGTGTGGCTGGGGATGTGCTGACGCGACCCGTCTCCTGTACTGCCCGCGCTGACAATGAGCATGCTCATGGTTACTTTCAGTATCACACAGATTTTCACATAAGGCAACTGGACTCGAGGAGGGGACTGTGCCTCTGAGTTTGTGCTTCCTCCTCCCAGGGCACCACTGAACTGAGAATGGGACTCGGACATTTCAATACCTGGAAAGCCCTGGAGGCAGGGAAAAGCATGCCACGGGGAGAGCAGAAAGCCTGAGGAGTCTGTACAAGGCAGCAGTGGGTATGAGGTTGACGGAGCAACGAAGAGGACACCGTACCCCCACCCCCTCCCTGGGAGAAGCTACAGGGAGGTGGGTGCGGGCCAGCCCAGGGAGGCCCTGAGGAAGAGGGTGCACAGCCCAGCAGAGGAGGGCTCTGGGGCAGCCGTCCGGGAGACACGAGGGGTTGTGGCCGGGCCAGAGTGCAGTAGAGCCGGGGCTCTGCAGCTAAACTCCAAACCCCCGTGCAGAGCGGATTCACACGTGTAAGCTGAGGTGGCCCCCAAGAGCCTGCTTAGAGCCGGGGCTGCAGGTCACAGAGCACACCCGGTAGTCCCAGGGCTCTAGACAGATGTCTTCGGACGGGCCCACAGAGACACCACTGTGAGTGTGCAAGGAACGGGGGAAGACCGGCATCTGAAGAGCATGTGGAGCACTCGAGGGACCCAGACCAACCAAACCAACCAAACCCACGACCAAGGCAAAGAGCAGCTGTGCCCAGGATGGCGGCCAAGCTCCGTGAAGCAGGCTGCCTGGGAGTAACGTCCTGTCTAGGTCCCTTGCGTTCTGAGTAGATACAGAGAGGACACAGAAGACAAAAATGGGTGAGTGGGAGGGAGGCATGGTAAGAGCTGGAATCTGACATCAGGTGGAGAGTCCAGTCACGTCTGGAAGAGACTGAGGACCTGAGAAGAGAGGACACGGTCCCGGGAAGGCAGACGCTGACGAGCACGACATGGGCGCAGAGAAGAGCGTGGCGGCCGCCTGGCCTGGCAGAGCCAGAGGGTGCCAGCAACGCTTTAGAGCCACACCAACCCCGACAAGCCAGGCGGGATAACTTCCCTGAGGCTGAAGAAACACTGAGCGTCAGATGTAAGAGGCCCACAGCATGACAAATAAAGGGGAAGCCTCACCCCTACAGCCATGCCTCTTCTGAGGAAAAAGCCAATGCCCAGGGGAGGAGAAACACCCTGAAAGCTTCCAGAAAGGAGGGGGAGCGGGGAAGAGGGAAGGCTCAGGATACTGGCAGGTAGAGATGGCATCTGACAGCAGCAGTGGCCACACTGTCTGAACCCCAAGTCAGAACAAGGGGGCCAAGGGAGGGTGGCAGGTGCAGGCGGCTCCTGGATATGACGGCGGCTCGTTTCCTCGAACCCAAGTCGTGTCCCAGAGTCCAGGAGCGCCGAGAAGAGCTCCCAGGCATGGCCCTGACACCCAGCTCTCGCTCACCTCCTAGGTCCCCTGGCCTGGCCTGACTGGCCCAGCGCCCACTCACCTGGATACTTCCACGTTGGCGTCTCTCCCTCTGTCATGCCGGCCTCCTCTCCTCGTCCCAATCTGAGGACCACATCTGGTTTGGCACCTAGGTATCCTGAGGACGGGAAATGACACAGGAGGTCGTTATCAACGCCAGAGGCATTCCAGAACCGAGACCTAGCCTTGCCAACTGCAGAGGGTCCAGAGGAGAGCCCTTTGCCCCATGAGGAGAGCCCTTTGCCCCTCAGCCCAGAACATTCACAGAGGAGCACAAGCCATACATATCCCGGGGCGGGGTGGGGGGGGGAGGCGTTTGCAATCGGGACTGTGACTTCTCAGCGGGGAGCCTTGGGCTTCACAAGCCCCAGAGTGGGTGACACGAGTGGGCTGTGTTCCGGTCATACTGTGGACCGCCCTCACCCACGGACACCAGGTGGCTGTAGTTCTCCAGCATGACATCCCTGTAGAGGTTCTTCTGAGCCGAGTCCAGCTGCTGCCACTCCTCCAGGGTGAAGTCCACACACACATCCCTGAAGGTCAACGATTCCTGCAACAGCACAGGCCTCATTAGCCCAGAGGGATGGGCTTGGGGAACGGACGGTACGTCCCACCCTAAGTCTTCCACAGGTAGAAGAGATTCAATATGGCTCCCACCCCAGGAGACCCCGACAGATGAGGACAGATTGGCTTTACACAGAGCGGAAAGTCGCCTGCCCAGGGTCACACAGCTCCAATACAGGGATCAGAACACGTGTGCTCTGCCTTCCGCACCCACGTGTTTCAACACGACACTGCACTGCCTTTCTCTACAGAACTGTTCTTTGCCAGTCACTACGCAATTTGAGACCATGTAGTGCACGGAGTGTTTCTGTAACCAAAGTTATCGTAAACTTTATAAAGAAACAGAATAGGTGTCAAAAGTATCTTCCTCTGGAAATGCAGTCTTTCGGCTCACTGACTGAACACAGACCAAGCTGGTACGGCCAGAGGATATAAAGGTTGATAAAAACAAACACACACCTTCTGAACTGAAGGAGCTTCCACCTAGTAGAGGGAGGAACACAACACTTACAAACTCACCTATGAAAAAAGGGAGGGAGAGCGGCGGGGGTGCGGAGGGGGGCTGTCCTCCGAGGGCGGTGCAGATGCAGCACAGGGAACAGAGAATAGAAGGAAGTCGGTTCCGCTTGGGGCTGGCAGAGAAGGCTTCGCGGGGACACAGAGCTATGACAACGGTTCTAAACACAGCGCCTCCGTCAGGACTAGGACGTAACAAAGTATATACAGGCCTTGCTCTAGGTCCCTGTTGCAGAGCTCCTGAAACCCTTATAAATCCCCAAGTGAGAAGAATACAAGGAGCATCTCATGTTCTAATGAGGGGACTCTAGTTGAGCTGACGGGCTGGTGACCAGAAAGGCCAAGCTGTGATTGGAAGCTCTGGATTTTAAGCCCCACTCACCTTTCTCCAGATTTGGGAGGGGGGGGGGCTGGAGGTGGAGTTAACAATTGATCGTACTTGTGTTCTGAAGCCTCCATAAAGTCTCAATAGCGTAGGATTCGGGGAGCTTCCAGGTGGGTGAACACATCTATATACCGGGAGGATGATGCTTGCCAGTCCATGGGGACAGAAGCTCTCGAGCTCAGGGCCCTCCCAGGCTTGCCCTATATATCTGTTCATCTGGCCATTCATGCGGGTCCTTCATCGTGTCCTTTAATGAACTAGTAAATGTAAGTAACTGTGCCCCCGAGTCCTGTGAGCCACTCTAGCAAGTAATCGAATCCAAGGAGGGGGTCACTGGTCCCTCTCATCTATAGCGTGCTGCTCGAAAACCTGTGCCTGGTGCTGGCATCTGATGGGGCATGTGGGGGGGTGGTAGTCTGGTGGGACCGAACCCTCGACCTGTGGGATGTGATCTAGGATCTCTCTCCAGAGAGATGGTGTCAATACTGAGTTCGGGGCAGGACGCCCAGCTGCTGTGGCAGAGAGCTGTGTGGGGGTGGGGCAAACCTTCGACACCTCCGGGGAGAAAGTGTTCCGTGTGAGCGTGGAGGAGACACCCGGGAGAAAGATAGGCAGGAAAGACACAGTGGGAAGAACCGGGCTGTTTCCAGGACCGCAACGGCTGCGTTGGGTTTTTCCTTCACAGTCCTCAGACTGCTGATTGTGGCTACTCCGTCACGAAAGGGAACAGGAAGCAGGAGGGTGGGAGTCTGACCCGGTCAGCAGACTGAGGTAGAGAAGGAAAGGTCTGTGTTTGGTCTTGTCAGCACCACACAGAAGCTCAGAAGTTTCTGAGTGGCCAGATTCCCGCCAGAGAGAGAGAGAGAGAGAGAGAGAGAGAGAGCGCGCACAATACTCCAACCCTTTACGCTCTGGATCTCCTCCTGTCCCACCCACACTGGCTGGTCTTCGATCTGGGGGATGTGTGGCACCCGCAGGGCCCCAACAGGCCACACGTGGCAGCAGTTTGCTCAGCACAGCAGACCGACACACGCCAGGCCACACCGTGTGCACAGGGGCAGTGACAGGCATGTGTTGCCAGCAGGAGAAGTTCTCAGAGCAGCCCACCCCTGCTCACCCTTCCCAAGTGACAAGTCAGGTGTTAGGGACCATGACCACACTGGTGAGCACAGGGCAACACCTGCCTCAGTGGCCATCCGCTGTCAAAATTCAAGATGCACATCGCCGCTGACCTAGATTCCTCACGTCTAATAAGCTACCTTGCAGACCAGACATGCTCACGAGGAACAAACTGAAAACGTGCACGGGGAAGTACTGCTGCACCGTTTATGACATCAAAAGACCAGGGTATCCTTGATGTACATCCCTGGCAGAAGGGTTAAGACATACTGGTATTTCCAGCCAGTGGAATATCGCATAGCCATTTTTGGAAATGGGGTACCACGCGCCGGTGATTTAGCCCTCCGGGCAACAGCTGGCAAGGTCTGTAGAAACTCTTCATTCTTAGGAGTCTCTCATGGAAAGGGAGGTGGGCGGGGGGTGGGGGTGACTGGGTGACGGGCACTGAGGGGGGGCACTTGATGGGATGAGCACTGGGTGTTATGCTATATGTTGGCAAATTGAACTCCAATAAAAAAATAATAAAATATTAAAAAAAAAGAAACTCTTCATTGTCACCACAAGGGGGAGTGGGTGGGGACACTGACATCAAGACAATCCAGGGCAGTGACACAGTTAGCTATCCTCCAAGGCACACAACAGCCCTCCACACACAGCCTGACCTGACCCACGTGCCAAGCGTGCCCAACTCTGGGGTTGTTCAAACGCACAACGAAATGGAATGGTCGCGGAAAAGTCCGGAATGTGCTTGAGTCTCACGTGAAGGAAGAAATCTGAAGTAAAGGGCACTCTTACAAGAAAGAGATGTGCATGCGTGATCTCTCCAAGAATGAATGAATGAGGAAGGAGAAGGGGCATGGGGGAGACAGAAGAATTAGTTTGTACCCTTTGTCAAACAAGGCTTTTGTCTGAATTTTTTTACCGTATGGACAAATCATTCCGCAGTGCTCAATTCAGCTTATTAACGCCCTATTCAGAACATGTTTCTAGAATCTTGGTATCCGTGTTGTCAAGTGCATCGGGTATGTAACTTACTTTCTGTGACATCTTTATCAAACCTAAGGTGAAGTGGCTTCACAGAACCGACTGGACTCATTTTCGACTTTCAACATCCTGGAAAAGCCGGACACAGGAACTATCTGGTCTCTTTTTTTCACATTCTGGGAAAGGAGTAATCAGTGTAGGATTTGGGACAGCCAATTAAAGTGTGAATACCTTAGACCCAAAATCCAACCTCCAGGTGAGGATACATAAACCCCCCGCACTGTTGAGCACACACATGAAGAGTCATCCAAGAGGCACCATATACAACAGAAAAAGAACATTCAAAACCTGAATACGCAAACAGAGCAAGAGTTGGATGATACATCCCTAGCACTGCAGAGTAACGGAAATCATCTTTCTGTGCTGAGGAGGAACACCATCCAGAAAATAACCAGGCAGGAAAAGAAGATGGGAGCGGGGCTCGGATGGCCCTTGTGCAAAAACACCCACCCGACACGGCCAACGGACCCGTTCTCAGCGAGTGAACCTGACGGAAACGCAGCCACCCCACACCATCCCAAAACTATTGCCAGTGGGGAGTCTGAGGAGAAACGTGGCACCGGGGGCAGAAGGAACAGGGGCGTTCGGGCTATTCTTTAACGCACAGAACATCAGGCATGGCTTTCCTTTCGGCATTTTGAACATAACGAAAAAGCAAACAGGTGGAAGGTGGAAGTGGAGACACGGGAAGAGCACACGAGTCTATGGACTGGAACGAGCTTCCCCGAGAAGTAAAAGAAAACGGAGGAGGTGCGTTTCCCAGTGGAAGAAGTCTGATAAGAATGCTCACTCTCTTGCTATCTTCTCTTGTTTTATTGTGTTTGGTTTCTATGGGGAGGGAAGGATCAGGGAAACCGTAGGTGGATCAGAGCCTGAAGAGAAAGCAGCCACAGCTGAGGGGAAGGACTGATTTGTTAAGGTTACAGTGCAGATCCCCCAAAGCTGCCTCAAGTCCACTGGAAACAAAGGAGGGGGTAAAGAGGAACTCACCTGGGCCGTGGCCATCTCGGTCTGCCCTGGACAAAGGGCGGAGATCTAGGGAGACAGAATGAGGGGCTCAAGATCAGGGCGCTCAGCCAGGAGACCATCCCCACCAGCCTAATAACAATCACCTTTGCGTCCTGGGGAGAATGACGTGCAAATGTGCCTGGGACCTCCAGCCCGGTCCCTTGGGACATGGATAAGCCCACGACTTGTGTTTACGGGCTTTCCAAAACGAATCTTGTTTCATTTCTCCACATATTTAGAAGCAGATTAAGAAAAAGCAAGTGCAACCCAAGCTCATTTGTTCACCGTTATGTGCATACTGATGAGCAGCAGCGTACGAGAGCATTTATTAAAATGGCTGACATTGGTTTTCTCGGATGGGGGATTTCACTTTTCTGCTTTTCTTTACTTGCGTTTTTGAATGTGAACATCATTACTCATAAGATGCAAATGAGAAATGATTACACTGAGCCTCGGAGGTGACAGACCCCGAGCAGAGTCTGGGGGACAGTGACATCTGGCTGGCTGTGGTTTGCAGGTGGAGAGAAACCAGGGCTGGAGGAGGGGCAGGGAGGGGAGGCAGGGCGCAGGGAGGGAGGGGAGGAGCCCAGCACTGGTCATTCCACAGGAGCTGGAAACCACCGACCTTGGCACCCTGCACTGCACACGCTGCCCTTCGCTGGCCTGCCTCCACCGCATTCCTGGCTCCTGACTTCCTCCTTTCCCAGGAGGTCCATTCAATGGCCTGTTCTTCCCTGCTCTGCAGTTTCAAAATGAGTCTCCGCAAGGAGCTTCTGCACAGAGTAGCTGCTGTCACCACAGCACCCCCCCCACACACACACCCAGGCAGCCTCAGGACAACAGGGTTCGGCTCCGTGCAGCTTCACGACTCACGCCCTCAGGTCCAATGACAGCAGCACCATAACGAGGTAGCGGAACCAGAAGACGGCGTACCTCCAGACTGATTACAGATTTTGCCAAGTAAAAAAGAAACCGATACAAAACTATTGTACGCTTTAGCCAGACTAGAGGGAAAACCCACATTTCTGCTAGAGGTGCGTGGGATGTTCACACTCTAGGGCTGACGCATTCCAGAAACAGTCAATGGAAAAGAGGGGAGCATTATGTGTGTCTAGTGTCAGGAGACCAGAAACTCTTGTGAGGCTGGCAGTGATCCTCGTGACCCTGCCCCTGCCCGTGCAGGACTGTAGCGGGCCACCTGCCTCCTGGCAGCATCCCTCCATCCACCTGTACACATCACCTCTCTCCTCTGATGGGGTTCAACTGCCCACCGTTACATGCTGAGCATGCTCTTTCCCAGGGGGAGCAGGGAAAGGGGCCACTCCAGGTCTAGCTTTTCTTGGATCGGCTGTCCTTCAGCCTTCACCCTCTGCCCTACGGTCCGGGTCTGTCCTGTGAGCCTGTACTCCCCACTCTGGGTTCTGGATCTGTCCTGAGAGCCTGCATCCTCTGCCCTGGGCTCTGGGTCTGGGCTGAAGTTCCTCCTCCTAAGCCTCTCAGAAGAGCTCTCTTGCTCCTAAGGATGCAGGACCAAAGGATTCAGAGACGACAAACGCATCTCAGCTAGGACCATCAACTGCAGCACCCCATCTGTGCCTCTGACACTGGAACTCACCTTCCAAGGCCTCAGACGGGCTCTTCTGTAGACCAGGAAGCTCAGGTGCAGGTGAGCTGGAATCTGCAGTTGGTGAGCAGTGGTCTCAGCGATGCAACCTGATCCTGGAAGGAAGGACCAAACAGGAGATGCAATTAGCAACCCCTTCACCCTATGGCGTGAAGTTGAGGAAAACTCAAATGTTCTCCTTTATGGAAGGAAGCACAAGGCCTCGTCTGAGTCTGAAGAGTGACGCTCAGTAGGACCCCAATTATCACCAGACAAGGACCTGACCACGCCCCCCCGCACCCCCCCCCCTTCTGAAATCAAACTGCCCTGTCCCTTTCATTCACGGTGAAAATGTCCAGTGCCCGCAATGTGCCTGTTCTGCGTGTTGCAGACACGTAGACACATCAGGGAACCAAAGAATCAAAATTCCCCGCCCTTGTGGTGGAACTCTATTCTACCAGGGAAGGCAGGCAGCAAGCAGCAAACATGATCACCTTTGGGAGGGTGGGAGGGAACGTTAGTTAGAAAGGCCTAAGTAAGGGCTGGCGGGCGGGTTGGGGCGGGGCGGGGGTGGTGGCTAGAAGGATCCGCCGGGGTTTACTAGCTGTGTGACTTTGGACAGGATTGCGAGCCTTTCTGTTCTTGCTTTCTCGCGACGAAGATAACGGTAACACCTGCTCACTGGCCATCGCGAAGATGACCCTGACCCCCAAGGGCGCCTTGCACTTACTAGGCCCTCAGCAAAGTCACTGACTGTGTCACTCCGCGTCGCCCGCGACGCGCCGCCCACACTCACCCCTCGGCCCCGAGCCCTCAGAGGACGCGAACCCATCACCCCGCCCTCCCCTCCGGCCCGTGTCCGCTCCGCCTCCCCGTACTTGGCTACCAGAACCCGCCAGTCCGGGCGGATAACAACAACTGGCGCGACCTCGCACCGCCCTCGGGTCGGCGGAGCACTTCCGCTCCCGTCGCCCCGCAGCCCGAGGTCGGAGCGCCGCGCACGCGCACGATCGGCTTTGGGAAGGAGGGGGGCGCTGCTGCCAGTGGCCAAGATGGCGCGCGTCGCGGGCAGCGATTCTGACCCGGTTTGTTCGCGCCGCCAACAGCGGTTCGTGCAACCATTTTCGGCGCACATCAGGCCGGCGCGGGGGTCGGGGTGGGGGTGGGGTGGCGTCTCCCGTCGGCGAGGCGCCAGCGGAGGCTGTCAGGGGCCCCGGTCCCACCGCCTCCGAGGCCGAAGCGCCCTCTGTAGCGCCGCTCTGCTGCGCAACCTCCGTCTCCCAAAGCCGCGCTGTCCGCTTCCTCGGGCTCTCAGAATAAGAAACGGTAGTGGCGCCTGCTGCGGTCCTCAGCGGCACATGGGCGCGGCCATCTTGGGGGCGGGGCCGCTCCCTGGGCGCCATATGCTTCCCCGGCCCAGGGGTCAGAGAGCAGGGGTCAGGCCCAGTTGCGGGAAGTGGCCCCGAGGAGGGTTGGGAGCAAGCTGCAGGGCCACTCCCACGCGCAGACCGAGAAACCCCGATGCCCCCGATGCCGGATTCTCCTGAAATAAATCCCGTGGCCCCAGTCAGGCATCCCGGGCGTCCGGGGAGACTGTGGTTTTTGCTTTTGGACAACATTGCCTAACGTAAGCAGAGAGTCTTGGTCTCTGCCAGTGGCAGTCGTTGGTAGCATACACAGTTGGTAGCATACACAGAAAGCCTGTTAAGTGCCCTTGGGGACAGACTTCTGATACTTGTCAGGATCTGGGCGAAAGAGGCCAAGTGTGTGCCGCCCTTGTAGGACCAGGCCCTACAAGGGTGCCTGGTCACCCCGCAGAACTCTTCGGGCGGTGCGTGGTCGGGTGTCAGCTCAGTTGGTGCCGAGCTCCTCCTGCGCTAGAGCCACAGCAGGTGCCACGCACCGTGGAGAGAAGCATGTGACAAAAACCATCGTGGCATCCATCGTACGTGTATGTGATCTTCCATTTCAACCTACTGCTTTTCCCCCTCTCTTTCCCTTTCCCCTCTGTGAGTTAACTCATGTTCCCTGGATGATCGAGATGATTCATAGCCCAGATCTACAGCGCATGGTTCTGGGAAGTGACCGTGCAAGCTTTGTGCTGGCGTCCCGGGAGGGAGAAGAGCCTGTGTTCCCTCAGGCGTGCGAGGGGGTATTATTGCTCTCCACTGGGAATGAATTCCATTAAGTTATGGCCAGGCCGAGAGATACTGCTTCTGCATTTCTAGAGGAGCGGTGACCCGCTAACCTTCTTTTCAGACATGACTATCAGGAGGCGCGAAAAGTTGTGTTAGTCGGCCAGTGCCCCGGGGACCATGGAGAAAGCCCCAGCTGCAGAAATACCTGGTCTCCAGCCCTGGTCAGACCCTGCCCATGTCCTCACGATACAGGGACAAGTGCTCACGCGGAACGGGAAGGCCTAATGGTCCGGGTAGGGCCTGGTGAAGGACACGGGTCTGGCACTCCTGCAATGCCAGCATTCCTAGTGTGACTGTGTCACTTTGGAACCTCGAAACATGCCGGGGTGCTCTTCCAGTGCATCCTCTGTACGGGCTCTTAGGGTATGTCAGTCCATAGGGGAGAAGGCTTGTCGCCACCTCTTTTTGGCCCCTTGACTCACAGCTGAAGACCACCTGCCTAAAGGGCTTTGTGATCGATGTCAGGTGCATCTGACAGCCCCAAGCCCAGGGCTTAGCCCACAGCAGGCACCTGGTTCGTGGTGGCAGTGTACACTCTTTTCTCATACAAACCGGGTAACGTGCCTGTGCCACTGCGGTACCTTCCCACAGTGTGGCCTTCCCCTTTGCCACCTTCGTGCCCGGTTGTGTGCCTGTGCCTGGCTCCAGCCTCACCCAGGATCGCCCCTCGTAGTCAGCTGAACACCTTTTTTTTTTTTTTTTTTTCTGTTGGCGACTAGACTTCTAAAGAAGTGCAGATGACTTGTAAGGAGTAGACCTAGGAGGCCTGGATTGCTCAAGCCCCGTACATTCCAAGGAAAATCCTGTTTCAGGAGGACCGGCCCTTGTCTGGCTCTGGGGAGACCACCACTAAGCCCCTGTCACATTTTGCCTAGTAAGAGTGTTTTTGTATTCTAAGCACTGCTGTTCCAGTTTGGCCAGATCGTTTATGCAAACAGTGTGACTTATGGTGAACATCTGGTTTTGCATGTGTGAGGCCCTGGGCCATGCTATATTAGCTTGACCTCTGGAGGGCTGTCGCCCGAGGAGCTAACATCAGTCCCATGGATGCTGCACGCCCGCATCACCTCCCTAAAAACCCTGGACCCCCAGGGCTGGGGGAGCTTCCCTGGCTGGTAGCACCTGGCAGGTTTCTGTTCACACATCCTTCCTGGGAGAATTTAAGCATTGACTGTGTGACTCCTTTGGGAGAAAACAACTGACCTGTCATGACTGGTTTCTGCTGGACTCCGCCCCCAGCCCGCCAGGCACCTCTTCCCTTTGCTGATTCTACTCTGCAGGCTTTCACTGTAGTAGGTCATAACCCGGTATGGAACAGCTCAGGGTGGGCAGCCAGGGTGGCTCAGCGGTTGAGCGCCACCCCCAGGCCGGGGCCTGATCATGGAGACCTGGGATCGAGTCCCATATCCCTCCATGGAGCCTGCTTCTCCCTCTGTCTCTCTCTCTCTGCCTCTCTCTCTCTCTCTCTCTCTCTCTCTGTCTCTCTCATGAATGAATAAATAAAATCTTAAAAAAGAAACAGCTCAGAAGGACTCTCAGGACTCTGGAAAAGAGAACAGGTTTTCTGAGTCCTGAGTCCTAGAGCGGCATCTCGCCTGAGGGTGGTCTTGGAGACTCGCTTTACACCGTTGCTCCTGATGCTCAGATGTGTACTCACTCTCCAGTTGGTTTCAAGCATCCCAGTAGGTGGACCTTCTGAACCCAGTTTGGCTCTGCCCTCAGGGATACACAGGTCGCTGACTGCAGTAGCAGCAGTACTACCCAGAGGGCACGGTTGTGTTCTTCCACCTTTGAAAAGCCAGGTCCTGAGTGTCTGCCCTGTGCAGGAGTTGAGTGAGCTTACTTTCCTGTTATTTTTAATTATACTTTGTGCTTACCCTAGAGATTATGCCAAACACCACTGATTTATTGCCTTTCCTTTCTCCAGAATTCAACGATGTAAAGAATTTTAGCTCATGTCCTTGTTATCTTTTTATTTTATTTTATTTATTCATGAGAGAGAGGGAGAGACTCAGGCAGAGGGAGAAGCAGGCTTCATGCAGGGAGCCCGACGTGGGACTCGACCTGGGGTCTCCAGGATCACGCCCTCGGCTGAAGGCGGCGCTAAACCATTCAGCCACCCAGGCATCCCACCATGTTCTTTTGTACTATTGTCGACCTGGATTTTTTTTTAATTTTTATTTATTTATGATAGCCACAGAGAGAGAGAGAGAGAGAGAGAGAGAGACATAGGCAGAGGGAGAAGCAGGCTCCATGCAGGGAGCCCGACGTGGGACTCGATCCCAGGTCTCCAGGATCGCACCCTGGGCCAAAGGCAGGCGCCAAACCGCAGCGCCACCCGGGGATCCCTCGACCTGGATTTTTAACTCTACATATATTTTATTTCTTTCGATGTGATTTTATTTTATTTTTTTAAAGAATTCATTTATTTATTCATAGAGATGCAGAGAGAGAGGCAGAGACACAGGCAGAGGGAGAAGCAGGCTCCATGCAGAGAGCCTGACGTGGGACTCCATCCAGGGTCTCCGGTATCACGCCCTGGGCTGCAGGCGGCGCTAAATGGCTGCGCCACCAGGGCTGCCCTCGATGTGATTTTATAATTGTGTAAGACATTCAGTTGCCATATAGATTTATCCACATTTTGTCTTTACAATGCTCTTTATTGCTTTTTGCACTTTGATTTTTTTAAGGATCTTTATTTTCTAACATTAAGAAATATCTTCAGTATTTATTTCAGTGTAGGTCTGTTGAAAATTCATTTTATCAGTTTTGTTTTTTCTAAAACCAACTTGATCTCATCCTCATTTTGAAAGGGTGTTTTCTCTGGTCACCTGGGTGGCAAAATCAGTCAAGCATCAGACTCTTGGTTTCAGCTCAGGTCATGAGCTCCTGGTCATGAGATTAAGCCCTGCTGACCAAGCCCTACTTCAGTATCCATGCTAGGTGCAGAATCTGCTTGAGTTTCTCTCTCCCTCTACCTCTCCCCTCCTCTACGTGTGCTTGCTCTCACTATCTTTCTTAAATAAATAAATACTCTTTTTTGAAAAGATGTTTTCTCTGGGAATAGAATTCCAGGTTAGCTTTGATTTTATTTCAGAACTTTAAAGATAGCACTTCACTCAGTGAGTTGAGCATTTGACTCTTGATTTCTGCTTGGACCACGATCTCAGGGTTGTGGGACTGAGGAGCCCTGCATTAGGCTCTGCACTGAGCATGGACCCTGTCTATGTTTTTCTCTCCAGGGGTACCTGGGTGGCTCAATCAGTTAAACTCATAATCTGTCTTTGGCTCAAGTCATGATCATAGAGTCCTAGGATTGAGGCCCGCATGGGACTCCCTGCTCAATAAGCAGTTGGCTTCTCCTCCCTCTGCCTCCCCCTCCCCATGTTGTCTCTCTCTCAAATAAATAATAAAAAAAAAATTTTAAAAAGGTTCTCTCCCCCGCCTTTCCCCCCTGCTTGGGTATGCATACACACTCTCTCTCTCAAAAAAAAAAGAGAAAGATACTCTTATTGTATTCCAGTTTTCATTGTATTTGTTGAAAACTCAGCTGCCATTTTTATTGTTTCTCCTTTGAAGGTGATGTGCCTTTTTTTCTCTTGTTGCAATTTGATTTTCCTTTATACCTTTTTGTTTTCAGCAGTTTGACTATGATTTGCCTAGCTATGATTCCCTTTGTATTCATCCTGCTTTACTTGAGTATAGCTTTTTAAATCAATGGTTTGTTATCTTTTGTGAATTTTGATATCTCTTCAAATTGCTATGCCTTCCAATTAAACATATTAGATCTTTCCACTGTGTTCTCTGTCTCCTACATTTTTTCTATTGTTTTTCTTTTTTTCTTTTCACAGTGATTCAGCCTGGACATTCTCTACTAACTCTCTTCCAGTTGACTAAGCTTCAATTATGCTGCATCTAAGATCTATTTAGTGCTTCATTTAAGATATGTTTTCAGTT